GAGAGAGAGAGAAGAGAAGAGAAGAGAAGAGAAGAGAAGAGAAGAGAAGAGAAGAGAAGAGAAGAGAAGAGAAGAGAAGAGAAGAGAAGAGAAGGAGAATGAGAACCTGTATTTGAGAACCTGGAAATCCTTTCTGAGGACTAGATTTCACAGAGCCTTGCATGATAGGTAAGTGTCCACCATTAACTACATCCTCACTCAACAACTTTATTCCAGTTAGAAGAGCTAAAGTTCATGCAGAAACAAGTCAATTTAAAAATAAAAGATAGAACCAACCTACCAGTCACTGAAACCTATTATAAAACTGTAGTAAGCTTTTGCCAGGCGATGGTGGCACACGCCTTTAATCCCTGTGAGGCAGAGCCTGGTGGATCCCTGTGAGTTCGAGACCAACCTGATCCACACAGTGAGTTCCAGGCCAGCCAGGGTTACACAGTGTAACCCTATCTAAAAACAAAACAAGAATCGGCCCCTCCAAATACAGGGTAGAGTCTCTCAATGCATCAGGAACACTAAAACTATAAGTTAATGAGTATGTCCATTGTCCCAAAGATTTGTCATTTCTTTATGGTAAGAATATAGAAAATCCTTTTTTTTTCCCCTTGGTATTTTCAATGAACAAAATGTTACTGAAAAGCAGACCAAGATACAGCATGGGATTTCTCAAGGGTTGAAAAAGAGGTGTCCATGAACTACAAACAGAAGAATGGTACAACAGCCAAAGGAAATTTACAAGACGAGAGGAAGGGACTCAAGAAAACAAATTGGGTTTGAAAAGGGCTGTAATGAACCCTACCATGGTGTGTGTGATGCAATCAACTAAATGAAAAAATGTCCAAACTGGGAATGGAATCCCTAAATACAAAGGTATTAGAATGCTGTAAGTCAGTCTTGGCTGCAGAGACAGACCCTGTATCAAAATCTCAGAAGTGGCACCATGCATGGTGACCAACAGCGATAACAGCAACCGAGACCACATGGACTGAGCTCACCATTCAATCTCCTCAGACTCTCGGTCCCTCAGCAGCTCCTGCACCTCCTGCCGGCATCGCTCCTGGTATTCCGGGTGCCTCGCCAGGTTGTACAGGATCCAGGAGAGCGCACTGGCTGTGGTGTCATGGCCTGAAGGACAGACAAAAAGGCAAGCTTGGGTCTCTGGACTGTTTCAGCACAATGGAGTAAAGTAGCCAGAGAGTGAGGTCCCCAGAGGATGGGGAAGGGATGGATAGATGGAAAGAACGGAAGGGTTCTAGGTTCCCCACAATACCTACATGGGATTGATAGACTTCTACCTCTGGAGTCTCACACAGGGGTCCTCACCTCCAAACATGAAGGTGTCAGCCTCTGCCCGGATGTCCTCATCTGACAGCTCCTTTCCATGTTCATCCTGAAGACAAAACAGGACCCTCAACTCAATCCATGTCTGAGGTGGTATGAGACAGGTTCTGATACACACAGTATACACAAGACACCTCCTCTCCAGAGCCTGCCTCCATTTCTTCCTTGGTGTTCTGCCCACTGTTTAGTCTTTTAATGCAGCCTTCAAAACAGTACCCTCTAACATGTATCTCTGTCCTGAGCCTAGTTCTCATAAACACCATTTGTAACTCTTCAGTACCCTCCTGGTGAAGTCCAGCCTCTTCTATATACACAATCTATATACCGAACATTGACATTCCTGTAACCCAGATCTCACATAAGCCCACCTTGGCCATCAAGAGCACATCGATGAAATCCAAAGTCTTGGACTTAGCCTTGGTCTTCATGAATTCATCAACACCCTGGCTACTGAGGGTGCGGCGTCTCTCCCTGATGACAGCATCTGTGAAGTTGTGCACCAGATCACAGGCCTTTCGGAAGCGCCGCCCATCAGCAGTGAGGTAGTAAAAGAAGTCCACAAACAGGAGGAGCTTCTGGGACCTTTTTACGATGAGGGAGCTGAGCTCCAAGATGGCAGCAATGTATTCACTGGGAGACCTGCAGGTCAGGCCAGAGAGAGGAAGCAACTTAGCACACAAAACCCAGAGAAGCTCCAGCCAGAGAGTCCAAGGACCAGGGTCCATCCTGAAAAGGGCATCCACAAAGCACAAATTCTGTTTCCTGCTCTCTACAAGTAGTTCCTGACCCAGGAATCCAGGGCATAAGAGGACATCATTTCCTCCTCTAGTTCACCCAGCATCTGCTCCTGCTCTTCTCCTTTGGTTTCTTGTGACTCTGCCCAGGCTCAGACCCTCCTCTCCTGGTTCCTTGCACCCTGTATCTCTACGAAGCTCCTCTGTTGAGTAGGGTGCCTAAAGCTCACTGTGACTAGGACTCCCTGCTGTACAGAACCTTCTCTTATGACCTGGGAAACTCAGGATGGAGTTCACACCCTTCTGGCGAGGCAACATCTTTAAGATCTGGCCACCAGCTGGAAATGCTGGCTCCTGGCTATGATCCCAACACACAGGAGGTGGATGCAGGAGGATCAGAAGCTCAAGTCCAATTTCATCTGCACAGTGAGTTCTATCCCAGACTAACTACAGACTGAGATGAGGTCAAGAAAAAGGAGAGAAGAAAAGATGTGTGGGTTGTCTAATGCTCTGTAATGATTAACTTTGAGAATCTATGTTGCACCCAAGATTAATAAAGGATATTTCTGTGTATGTCAGAGATGGTGTTTTGTCTCCAGATTGAATTAAATGAGCATGTAAAACTTGCACTGAACATGGACTGCTTCTTCCCACTGGATGGAGTCACAGGGATGAGAAGGGGAGGAGGAGGAAGCTTGCTGACACAGACAGGGTCTCCCTGTACTTCTGCGCCATCGTGGTGGGAACCTGTCATTCCCCACCATGATGGAATGAAACCAGGGGAGAAACTCTATTTCCCTCTTAGCTTGTTTCATTTGAGATATTTTACCATAAAACTGTAACATACCCTTCAGCGTCCTGTCGAAGATTGTCCTTCTGAACTGCCTCTTTCACCTGCTGCCTGTCTACAGCTCCTTGCCTTTATGCAAAGTATTCTGCCTCCTTGGCAGGACCACTCACTTTCTTTCCCTGACCTTCACTGCCGCTTTTGACCTAACTCCTGCAGAGTCTCCTCTACTCCCTGGAGGCCGTCCTCCATCCCCAACCTCCTTCCTTGGTACAAGGCCCATGTTCCAAGGCTGGGACAGGGACTCACTCTTGACAGTTGCTGTCAAAGCCAAAGAGGCATTTCTGCAGACTGTCCAAGGTCATGAGGCTGATGTTCTCAAACATTTCCAGACGTGCACTGCCCTCCAAGCATAGGCGCTTCCACTTGTCCTGACCAGAGAAAGGGACAGACATGGGGCCGAGCCTTTGATCCTTGAGCCCCTTCCCAACCCTAAACTCTAGAGCAGGCACCTGACCTCAGAGAAAAGCTGACTCTGGCGGGAGCAGAAATCGGCACTGCCACAAGTGGAGCCCTTAGGTCACCCGAGTCTAACTCGACCTTCCGTGCGCCTGGTCCGCTTGCTGCCTTCGTCTAGGTCCTGCTTGTCAAGCCTCCAGCCACAATTAGGTTGACAGGCTTGATTACCCAGTAAAATACACTCCAGTGCCTGCTCTACCATTCATGCCCTCTTACTTTTTATAAACCTGGAGAATACTGACCTCTCTGACCTTTGGTTTCATCATCCATAATATAACAGTCATCCTTACCTCTGCCTCATAGCAATATGGAAATTACATCACTCAACATAAATGGTAGAACTGGCATCATGTTTTATAGCCAGAAGGTGCTCAGTAAGTGTTAGCTGTGGTTATCAGCCTCACTAACATAATTTTAGTTGGCTATAGAACGGCCCCAGTTTCTTTAAGTCCTCCATTCTCTGCCTTTGCAAAGAGCTCATATAAAGTTTCTGCTTTTTCTCTTTTGGAACCAGTATTTTCCATGCTTGAAATCCCAGAATGAACTCAGCTCTACCCAATACTTTTAGTTTCATATGTAAGTGAGTTTTGACCCTAATCACCCCACTATCCAATCAACTTCTCCCAGAAGGACCTTAGTTGTTTTTTGTTTTGTTTTGTTTTGTTTTTGGGTTTTTTGTTTGTTTATTTGTTTGGTTGGTTGGTTGGTTTGGTTTGGTTTTTTGTTTGTTTATTTTGTTTTTTGTTTTTTTTTCCAAGACAGGGGTTCTCTGTGTAGCTTTGCACCTTTCCTGGAAATCGCTTTGTAGACCAGGCTGGCCTCGAACTCACAGAGATCCACCTGCCTCCTGAGTGCTGGGATAAGAGGAGTGTGCCACCACCACCCAGCAGGACCTTAGTTTTTTGAGACAAGGTCTTGTTGTTAATGTAGCTTGGACTGGCCTGTAATTCACAATCTTTCTTCCTCAGTCACCCTGGGCTGGGATTAAGAAGTGCATCACCATGGCCAGCTTAGGGGCAATGCAGTCTAAACTAGTGTCCCACACAGAGAGAGCTACATCCATAGTCAGCATTAACCAGATTAACTCTGCAGGGCCTCTGTGAAGGAGAGTAGGTACTGGTCTGCTAGGAACCTCATCTATGAGCTAAGAGCACGACCCCATGGTGTCATCCTGATCACCTTTTCAGTACAGATTGTTGCTCTTATTTTTAAAGATGGAGAAACTGAGGCTTGGTGAAGAAAACTGATGTCCCCAAGACCATGCAGCAGGAACATCTTCAGACTACATCTATCCGAAGCCACTCCCTGTTCTGCAAGTATCTACATGGGACCCTGAGTTTGAGGAACTCACGTGCATGATGTTCACACTCTTGTTAAAAATCTTCACATAGGGCTTCAGGATGTCAAAGTGGAAGGCGGGCGTCAGCAGGCGTCGGTGGCGGCTCCACTTGTCACCAGAACTCAGGAAGAGCCCGTCCCCTGGGAGGGAAGCCACTGCAGTGAGCAAAGGTGGAACCCTCCTCTGACCCCCAAGGTGTCCCCCGACCCTCACCTTGATGTACTCACCCAGCCAGGGCTTCAGGAAGCCTAAGAAAGTCATGTCCTTGGGGGCCACCAAAGCTGCCGTGAAGAAGGACAATCAGGGGCCATGGAGAGGATGAAAGGTGGACTTTGGGAGGAGTGGGGACTCCCAGCCCCAGGGATGCCCACTTCCCCTCCAAACACAGGGAGGTAGGAAAGGAACCAGGACAAAGACAGCAGGGAAGAGGAAGGAGGTGAGACAAGACCAGACCAGTCTGCAGCAGTAGAGAAAGCAAAGCTCAGCCTGGCAGGGAACAAGCATGTCCCAGCATGCCTTCACATGGCTGCTACATGCTATGTCTTCCACATCTGAGTGCATCACAGCACTCTACAGGCCTCTGCAAAGACCTAGGACACACTGTCAATTGCAGCTCTCTGACATGTCCTAACACATCCTGGTATATATGACAGGCACACGTTATCATGACCTGCCGTAAACACAACACGTATTCCCTGACATGACACATCATGGGTGTGTAACAGTCTGGCATCACCTAATTGTGCCCTTCAGATAATCCCAGATTGGCATTGAAATATGGTCCCTTTCGAGTCCCAAATGTGACCTGGATAGTTCCCAGACCCCTCTAGTTCTCTCCTCTATGCCACACTAAGCATTAACTGTTCAGAATAAGGGCAACTCTATTCTCAGAGCCACGTGCATGCCCACTGGGAAGAGTTGCCTCTGCCCTCTCCAGCCATCAAGCAGCCCCAGAGCCAACCAGACACAGCTGACCCGTCTGGACTCTAGTGGACTGTCCCTGAAGTACTCTGCATACCATCTCTGTCCCAAATCATCTTCAGCTTGGGGTCCCTCCTATCAAAAATGGCTGGGGCAGCCAAGACTCATTGAACATGGGAGGTGGTGAGGAGTTCACGCAATGTTACATGCTTCCCCCAACCTCAACTATTCACCTAGGAGGTACCCATCTTGCAAGAACGCTGTTGAATGTCATTGGGGACACAAGGGAAGTAAAAAAAAAAAAAAAAGCACTATGTTGTTCTATACCATACAGAACCATTTGCACTTCATATTGTGAAAGGAATCTGCACATACACATTGTAAATAGTGCAAGACGAACACATTGCTAATAGTTTGCAGCTCTGGAGTGATTATGGAGAATACCAAGAAAAATGTGAGACACACACTACAGAGTCTCATCAAACTCAATATCTTTAGGAATGTGTGAACCCAGGAGCACAGAGAATTGATAATAAGGGAGAAATACAGACTATGACAATGAAAGCAGCCTTGAATCTCAGAGGGCTGGGACTGAACTCTGGAAGGTCTGGCTGCTTTTGCTGCATGCAGAGGAGATGCAAAGTCATTTTTAAGGCTGTGGACTCACTCATTGTCTTCTCAGATCACAAACTTTCTAAATAAAGCACAATTTAAAGATTCAGTCCCCGGGGCTGGAGAGACGGCTCAGTGGTTGTGAGCACTGGCTGCTCTTGCCGAAGACTTGGATTTAGTTCTCAACACCCACATGGCAGCTCACAATCACCTGACTCTACTTCCAAGGGATCTGACACCCTCTTATGGCCCCTGAGGCACTGCATACATGTGGTACACACACATCCATGCAGGCAAACACTCACACAATAAAATAAAAAATAAAGGCCTACCATGGTCACGCACACCTTTAATACCAGCACTCAGGAGACAGAAGCAGGTAAATCTGTGAGTTCAAGGCCATCCTGGTCTACAAAGTGAATTCAGACCAGCTAAGGCTATACAGTGCCTCAAAATAAATAAATTACTTAAAAATAAGTAATTTTTAGAGACAGGAGGATCCCTGGGCTTCCTGGTCAGGTGGTCTAACTTAATGGGAGAGCTCCAGGTGAATGAGAGAGCCTGTCTCAATAAAGGTATGTGAGGTCCCAGGACAGCAGCTCAGATTCCCTACTATCCTCCACATGCATGTGGCTTTGTTCATGGTAGACAAGCGTTCCACCTCTGAGTACATCCCAAGCCAATATGTTCTCTTTCCTGGCTTAGATCACACTGGGCTGAACTTCCCTGTCTCACAACTCAAGCAGATCTCAGCCACAAGGGAGACTAGGGACCTAACCCAAGTTCACTTAGCAGGTTCACTGTCAGCAACAGCCCCATCTGTTGCTCAGCCTGGTCAATCCAGGGATGGGAAGGGCTTGGACAAGAGACAGAGGAGAGGCCAAGTGTTGGGATCCTAGAAGGGATACCTGGGGCATGGAGCAGGGGGGCAACAAATGCAGGGTCAACGAGCCTCAGCACAGGGATGACAGGCCCCAGCCAACAGAGGTGGACATCTCGGAAGGTCTTGCCCATTTCAGTCACCAGCTGCATGCCTTCCTCGTTGCTCTGGATCTGTGGAGGGAGAATGTTGAGGCAGTCCAGGCAGGGTGTCTCAGATGCTCCCACCCTCTGCCCACCATGCCATACCCCTCTAAACTCCCAACTTGGGTCATTCATCTGTGTCTCTGAATGAGTCAACCTGAGTTCAACTACAGGTGTCCCTTCCTGGATCCGTGCATCTAGCTGCATCCCTCTTTCTGATGCATCACACTCACCTTTTTGTTTTGTGACCTAGATATAGATAATTGACGGATCAATGGATAGAAAGATACATTCATACACACATATTTTGAATAGTAGGTGATAGAGGTATGAACTAATTGATAGAGGGGTTGAAGGTTATAGATAGATAGATAGATAGATAGATAGATAGATAGATAGACAGACAGACTGGCTGCTGATAGCTATATAGAAGATATATAGACAGATATAAAATAAATAAGATAGGTATATGACATTGAGAAATGTGATAGGTAACTGGTAGCAAAAGAAAATGATTAGAGAGGTAGGTCTAAATGTGTGTGTGTGTGTGTGTGTGTGTGTGTGTGTGTTTACCATAATTCTGCGTCTTTTGTCTCCTTCATTTCCACCCCCTCTCCCCCTCTCCCCCTCTCCCCCTCTCCATGTATGTGTATCTCTCTTTTTCTTATGGGATTTTTCCCTCGGCTAAATCATCTCTCCCTCCTCTTGCCTCCCTCATTCCTTGAATCCCCCACTCCAGTTAGGAGTGCACTCATAGGTCATCCTATGCCACCCACCTCTCTCACTTGTCCCTAACTCCAGCAGAGCCCACTAACACCAGCTCTGGGCACGCATCTCCCTAGATTTGCAGCAAAGAATCGTTGAGGTTTCCAAATCTTGGTTCCCAGATTAGGAGAGATGTGAACCTGGAAGTCATCTAAGGAGGGAACTGATGGCCAACTCAGGAGCTGGACCCTGAGGTAAGAAGACAACTTTAAGGAAGACAGAGGAGGGGAAACGGGAGAGAGTGGCAGGGGAGCCATGGGGAAAGGTCAGGAGAAGGAGGACCCAGCAGTGGACGCGGAGGGACCTCAGGGAACTCAGGGGGGACCAGTGAGGATGTAATCCTGGACCAAACTGGAGCTTCTGGGAAAGATGGAGAAGCCAACAGACCAGAAAGCTGTGAGGAAGTGAATGAGACGGAGCCAGGATTCAGGGACCTGGAAATCACAAGTGGGACAGAGAAGAGAGGCAGACCAGGAAGAGACAACCAATGAAGATGATTCGTGGTCCATAAGAAGAGGGCAGAGCAAGCAGACTAGGTCTAGTGCAGAAAGAGGCATATTGGAGGTATACGGATGGGAGCTGACATGTTGTCTGACTGGACAGCGTCACTATGGATAATACATAGAAGACATAGGAGTCTGCAGTCATCAAAAGCAACAATTTTCCAAATGTCTAAAGGAAAATTGAACTGTCAAGAACTTCAGACTATGACTCGTGATGGGAATCTGAACTAAGGTGGAGATGAAAGGGGGATTGTCAGGAAGCTGATGAGTAAGAATGTACAAAGGATGGAGATGCTGAGGGGACACTGGATGACAGATGGTAAATGAGAATGCTGGTGCAAAGAGGGCTCTGTTGAGAGAAAGCAGTACTTGAATGAACAGCATTGGAGGGGATATATATATAATATAATTATTAATATTATATATTATATATATTAATAATATATTAATAATATAATATATATATATATTATATTAGGAGTGACACTGAAACCCGACTGTGGTTCTGCAATAGGGAGCAAGAGCAGCATGGAGCAGGGGGACCCAGGGATCAGGGGAGGGTGCTGAGTAGGAACTCCCCACCCCCAGGAAGTGTAGTCATTATGACTGAGATCAGAGAGAAAGTGCTGTGGTGTGGCTCTGGAATAAACTAGTTGCCTAGCATGCACAAATACTAGGTAATTCAGATAATCACTACCAATGTTAAAAAGTGTTCCGTTTTTACTGAGATTGGATAATGGAGCCCACTAATGCATCTTCAGGACAGGCGGCAAGTGGAGAAAGGGGAGGGGCCAAGGGGTTGGAGGAAAGAGAAACTAGTCTCTTTTCTACTCCCCAAGAGCTCCTGCAGGGGAAGGTAAGAAATCACCACTGACTCCTACAGTAGCAACCCAGAGAGCGCGGACGCTGATCTGAAATCAGGAGAGATGGGCCAGGCAGGGCAAGACCACGGAGATGCTGCAGGATGGCCTCAAATCCAACAGTGAAAACCGAATACACCAGGGATGTCACTGCTCTGTGCTGCCCGCCATGGGAGCCACCGAACAGGACAAGCATCCAAGAACGAGAGGAAGCCTCAGCCCTGGTGAGAACACTGTGACCCAGAGTGGGGTTGGTGCCAGGTAAGGAGAAGAAAAGGGCCTGTGAGCACAGGTGTGACAGGAAGGCAAATACATGTGCTGGTGTGGGGGGGACGGAGGGGCTCACTTTGCCTCTCTACCGTCACGCGGCCTCGGACCTTTCCTGACCCCTAGGGAACACACCCACCCCGATACCCCAGTCCTGTATGCTGCCATACTCACAGTGCCCAGGTGACCCAAAAACCAGTTCCTTTTAGGGGGCTGAGGGAAGCATCTGAGGCGGGAGCAGTTCTCACAGAATGAATAGGTCCAGGCAAGAATTCTGGCCAGAAGCCAGGAAGCCGCTCCAAGCAGCAGAAGATGCCACGGGGATGCCAACACGAAGGCCGGGACCAGCCCAGACACACTCAGCTGCAACATCCTGTAGAGCAGATAAAAAACGGGGTGGGGGTGGGGGATTCTGTGGCTCAGGAGAGAGACGGGGGAACTCCCGAATTCCTGAGCAAGGGCAGAGACCGGGAGCACAGCGAGGAAGGGGAGGGAGAGAAGAGACAGGATGGAAGGGATACACAGACAAGAGCTGGTTCGAGTCTGAAGTAGCTCTGCCTCAGGCACAAGCAACTGGCCCCAGGCAGTTACCCAGAACCTAGGGTCGCTGATACCAGTAGGCTCCATGAAGCCACCCCAACACTGTTCAGCTCTTCCTGACCAGCATCAGGGCCCTCTCTTGCCTCACACCCCAGGCCCGTACCTTATTTCAGGGGCAGCCTGTACCCCCAAGACTTTCTCTCCCCGTCCTGTGAAATGCTTTTATCCCCTGCTTCTTAACTGCCGGGAGCTGTGTAGGAGGCTGGGCTGCAGCTAGGCTGAACCAATCAATCCCTCCCAAGCTCAGCCACTTCCTTCCTGCCCGGGCAGCAAGCCAAAACTAGCTGGGCAGGGCCAGCCTGGAGTGCAGATAAGAACTCAAGGCGACAGACACACACACACACAGGCAGGGCATCTTTAGGGTGCAGCTCTTCTGAGTCAAGGCCAAAGGTGACTCTGGGCCATCAAATTTACAGCTACCCTTGCCCTTCCAAGGCCAGCGGTCTGCAGATTAGATGATGAAGGCGGAGTACAGCTGCCCGGTTCAGGACAGGACAGTCGCAGAGCGTCTCCCCAGGTTTCCTGCACATCTAGCTGGTGGGGATGCAGCATGCAGAATGTCTCACTGCAGAAGTGCAAGGCTGGCTCTGAAATGCCTCTGCTCACCAGATGCTAAGTCTGGCGGAGTTAAGTCCTATCCTTTAGCAGCCCAGCCCCTGGGTGGAAAAAAGAATTACAAACTAAAGAGAATCCAGCCATGGCCAGACTGAGGAGATGAAAGTCCTACCTGGGAAAACACACCCAGAGGCTGAAGAGTGCAAGTGTGGAGGAGAGGAGTGAGACCGAGAGAGGCTACGAGCTGAGGCGGTCAGGCCAGGAAGAGCAAGCCCGGAACTCATTGCCTTCCCAGCGTCACATGGGGCATTGCTCTTAACAGTGGCATATGCTGTCCAGCAACTGTCCTACACTGCCGTGTCTTGGACTTAGCAGTCACTGAACCCATGGTCATGCTCCCCATTTGTTAGGCAAACAGGAGGAACCAATAGGCCCCCAAAGCCAAGACATAAAGAACAGGTGGACCAGCTCAAAGGTTGGCAGACAAAAGCAAGTTCAAAGTCCTGAAAAGGGAAGTTGGTTGGCATTGATACAGAATGATAAGGGACGGTGGACAAATCCAGATGTGTCATCTCAGGACCCCCAAAACAATGAGGGGCAATGGAGGCTAATGGTCCACGATAGGGAGATCAGAATAAAGCAACTTGTGACTTCCTCCCCAGGGGATTTGTCACAGTGTTCTTCCCCTCCCCCCAGTGAACTTTTCAACTTCACTAAAAGTGCTTAAAAGCACACGCGAATTCTTGCAGCTACACAGCTAAGCATAGCACTGAATTCTGGGTGAAACAGACATCTGAGGGAAACACTCGCCTTTTCAAGTCCACACTGGAGGAAACACGAGGAAGGACACTAAGGACCATACGGGGAATACAGCAGTATAAGACCCACACTTGTCAAGGCTGAGACCGTGGCTATTCAACTTGACCTGGCCTTTTCACCTTTTATTTTATTTTATTTACTTGACTTATGTGTTTTGTCTACATATATGTCTATGTACCACATGCATGCCTGATTCCAGAAGATTTCCAGAGAAAGGGGTGTCAGATCCCCTAGGATTGGAGTTACAGAAAGTCTTGAGCCACCATGTGGGTCTGGGGAATTGAATCTGGCTCTTTTGGAACATTAATCAGTGCTCTAACCACTGAACCACCTCTCTAGATCTTGACGGCTCTTTTTCAAGGAGTATATTCTTGCTTCCTTCCTTGCTCTGATTAAACTCTTGACTGCTTTCTCTACCACTGTGTCCCAACCAACTTCTCTTTCAGAAGCACAGGCCCTCAGACTGATACCGGAGTTGAGAGCAGAGGAAACCGTTGTGAATCCTTGACCTGATACAGGACCTGAGAGCAAACACGGACTTTCACAGACAGGAGGAAGTCTGCTCTGAAAATGCAGCTTCCGAATCTGTCTGAAGTTCTACCAGGTGCCATATAGACTTTGGTCTTGCCAACCCCATAATCATAATTCACAGATGGCAGGTTCTAAAAATAAACCTGCTAAGCTATAAATAGGCAAGAATTACACTTATAATCAGGCCATTTGGGAGGTTGATGCAAGAGGAATATGAACCAAGGTCAACCTAGGCTACGTATGATAAGATAAATGCATGACATATAGCATAATTTAATCTTCAAATAAATATACATGGACACTGATATAATGTTCATAATAGTCAATCATCACTGTCATCTTGACTGTATCTAGAATTACTATGAAAGCAGACTTCTGGGGTTGCCCATGAGAGTCATTCTGAAAGGCTGAACCAAGAGCAAAGATCCACCCTGAATGTAGACAACTTCATCACCAGGACTGTCTCTCCTGGCTAAATAAAAATAAGGAAATGAGCTGAATACCACACACAATCTCTTTGCTTCCTGACTTAAGATATCATGTGATCAGCTGCTGCATGCTCTTGCCACCACGACTTTCCCACCAGGATGATCTGGACCCTTCACCTGTGAGCCAGAGGAATCCTTTCCTTTCTTAGCTTACTTTTTCCTTTATTTCATCACTGAGAAGGGACAGGTAACTAATGCATGAAGGGGACCCCCACACAGCAGGGGCTCCCTCCAAGACCCCAGATTAGACACAAACCACAGCCAAACACCTGTTTTCACAGAGAGATCCTTTATTAAGCAGGAAAAGTTAGAGTGGCTGCTTTCTGACTCCGGCAGAAAAACGGCAGCAAATGACCTTGCAGGTGTGATTTTTAAGAGGAGAAAAATGGGAGGTCTGTGTTAGGATGGGCTAGGATGTGGGTAAAGGAGATAGGGGACAGGGAGAAGGGGAAGGGGACAAGGGAAATGGGGAGGGGGTATTTGTCCCAGAGGACAACAGACTGCCTCTGGAGAGAGAGGAGACAGAGTGGCACACGGGCAGGTGACAGTTTATAAAGGTAAAGGGGGAAACCCCATGATAGGGTGAGGTGTTTGGTTTTACTTGGGCATGTTGATTAGGTGAGCCTAAGGGAGCTTCTGATTGCTGGACTTTGGTAGTCAGCCTCAGGAAGAAGTGGGCCTTGGTGCCTAGCTTTAGGAATGTAATCTAATGGTTTTTAGCAAGGCAGAGGGAATGGCCTGCCAGAGCCACCTGTTTGAGTGGGCTAGTGTCCATTCAATTCAGAAAGTTTGTATAAGGGGGGTGAGGTCGTTGGTGTGATAACCTGGCCGTGTGGTGAGGAGGAAGTTGGCTGATTTGCTGAAGGACTATGGAAGAGTTCGGTCCTCTGTGATATAAAATCCTAAATTCCTGGAAGCAGGTCTGGATGGGACACTCTGGTCAGTGCTCAGGGCACTACAATGCTGAGAGAAACAGTGACAGTGAAGGCCGAGTTCCTAAGGATCCGGAGGGAAGGAGAATCTTCTTGGGAGGTGGGCGGGAGAACAGCCATTTTAACAACGACTGTTCAGCTGAACCTCTGCTCTAGTTTGTTTTTTTATATGAACGTAATATTTTTATTGATTATTTGAGAATCTCACACCACGCACGCTGATGCCATTGACCTCCCAGTTCTCTGATGTTCCTCCCCCGCCCCCACTGTGACTTCTGCAAAGTGGTTACCTAGAGAGCTGTTTTCCCAGGATCAACTTTAAAGGCACGCAGAGGCCATTGGAGGTACGGCCCGGGGGAGCCAGGCCACGTCTCAACCTGGCAACAGAACTTGGCAGCATCATCCTGCGGTCCTGGCCTTCGGAGCATGAGAGGCGTGAGAGCGGTGTGGAGACCCTAGAAGGGTGCAGATGCAAAGCGCTTTAAGCACAGCGTGGAGTTGGTTCACGAAAGAGACCCTTTGCTGTCTGCAGGACCAGGCTGCCCACAAGCTGCCGGAGCAGAGCTGCAGGGACCCGGCTGC